CCCTGCAGGTGGAAATCTTGATGGATTTCCCTGCTTCTGAACACATTTTTTACTCCCCCGACCCCCTTATACCCTACTGTTTTTGTGTCCATGTAATTATGCGACAATAACTAAAATAGACTCTGGCCTCATTGTATTCTCTCTACAATCCTAGATTGGACAGGTACAAATCCAGTTTCCTAGGCCATGCTCTGGGGCTTCTAGTCTGTCTTGGCAATGGGGCAGTTTAGGGGGGGTTGTGGGGTCCATTTTGAGTGGAAGGGGGCCAGGATTATGTAACAGAGCTCTGGAATGGTGGGTGACTGATCACCAAGCCTCCACCTGTGGTGTCAGGTGCACTGGAAGTGCCTCCTGGTTACTGAGGTGCCTGGACCCCCAAAGATAATGGAATATCTCTGCCCTGGAGAGCCTAGAACACACGGCTGTACCAGTCTTCGGGGCTGTCCTTTTAGTCCCCTGTATGTTAATGCCAGAGTTCTTAGCCTAGAATTTGAGCTTCACCTTGGTGTAGGTTTACATGCCCCACACTCTCCCCTGACTGATCACAGTGAAACAGTGACTGTACAGTGAGACAAGCAAACCCATACAGCAGTTTGGACCACAATTGCCTGGTTTTTATCACCAGTTATGAGGGTATATAATTATTTGACTAGTTATTTCTAAACTACCAGGCCTCTCCCTGGGATTGTTAAGTTATTTCATCATTTTCAAATAACATTATTTCCAAAAAATTATGAGAATACTTACAATTATTATAATAAAAGAGGTTTGGGGCTGGTGCAATAGCGTAACAACCTAAGTCTCCTCCTGCAGTGCCAGCATCCCACATAAGCACCAATTTGTATCCTGGCTGCTCTACTTCTGATCCAGTTCTCAGCTTGTGGTCTGGGAAAATAGCAAGGGTTTCCCCAGTTCTCTGGGCCTCTACCCACATGGGAAACCCAGAAAAAACTCCTGGCTCCCAGCTTCAGATTGGCTCAACTTTGGCCATTTAGGAAGTGAACACAGTGGATGGAAGCTCGCTCTCTCTTCTCTCTCTGTATCTCTGTCTTTCCAATTAAAAAAAAAAATTAAATCCTCTCCATTACAAAAAAAAAAAAAAAAGGTTTGAGTGGAAAAAAAATGACATCTAAGTTAGACTAGGCCAATTGTTTAGAGTTTTTGCTTTAAGATAATTTTTACTTTGCTTTTAGGAATCCATTTATCTCCAAAGGAATTTCATAAAGAAGTAGAAACGTTTTTATCTCAGGCAAATCAAGGACAAAGTGATACCATTCTACTAGATTGCAGAAACTTCTATGAAAGCAAAATAGTAAGTAAGAACCAGAATTGAAATGGTAGTTGGTGCTGTTGTGTGCCCACCTGCAGCCACAGGGTTCTGTCAGCCCTGGCAGCTTTAGAGAAGACCCAAGCCATTTAACTCAGGCTCTGGTGAAAACAATCTCAGACACAGCTTGGCTCTTGACGTCCTTTTTGACCCCTGGGAGCCTACCCTTACCACGTGTTGTGTACCTTGAGGGCTGGCTCTGGTCACCTCCCAAACTCCTGGGGGCTCCTGGGAATGTGAGCCCCAGCCTGCAGCCTTGGTTTTCACTTGCAGATCTTGAGGTTGGAAGGTCAGTATGGGATGGGACCAGCAGGTACCAGGGTTGCTGTGCCACACAGGGGCTGTCTGGCCCAGAAAGAGCCTTTACCCCCACCAGGCAAGAATGCTGATGGTTTTCTTTTTGCTGTTCCTCTTGTAGGGACGGTTCCAGGGCTGTTTAGCCCCAGACATCAGGAAATTCAGCTATTTCCCAGACTATGTCGACAAAAACCTAGACCTTTTCAGGGAGAAGAAGGTGCTGATGTACTGCACTGGGGGCATCCGTTGTGAACGGGGTTCAGCCTACCTCAGAGCCAAGGTGAGCCAACGTCCTGTGGACACCATGGCCATGGAAGTGAGAGCCAGAGGATCGGCTTTGCCCCTTCTCCCCCATCCCTCCTACACTCCCAAAAGATTTGAACAGAATCTGAGCTGCTTAAATCTCAAAGAGTATGAAAAGCACTTAGCAGTCGTTGAAACTCATCAAGTCCAAAAGGGAAAGATTAGTGGCCATCGCCCTTCTCCTAATCCCTTTGCTTGATGCTGAGAAGAGCAAATTCAGAAACATTACTTGTCCCAACAGGTGCCATCCTATATTTAGGGGGCAGAAAAATAGTTGAGCTTCCTGGACCTACAGAGTGAAGGCCCACACGGCTGTCATCAACCATCCCCCACTGGGTCCAGTCTGACCAGCTGCTTCTTGGACCCTTTGGTCAGCAGTTCCTCGGCATGCTGCAGGGGGAGCTAGGAGCCCCCAGCTGACAGCAGCGTTTTCTGCTTGCCCCTCCCCCAGTGGGGCTTCTTACAGGTCTCTGCAGCTTCAACTCTCCTGTTCTTTTTCCACACTAGGGAGTGTGCAAGGAGGTGTTCCAGCTCAAGGGTGGCATCCACAAGTATCTGGAAGAGTTTCCTGAGGGTTTCTACAAAGGGAAGTTGTTTGTTTTTGATGAACGTTATGCCCTAAGCTACAACAGTGACGTCGTGTCAGGTGGGTCTGTGTGGGTCCAGAGTTCAGACTGACATCCAACCCATCGTCAGCTTACCATTCTAGAGGAACGCTGTGGGGAAGGTAGGCTAGTGCTCAGGGCTAAACTGAACAGGGAGAAGAGCTTTGTTCCTGTTCCTCTGTACCAAGCAAGAGGGATGCAGCAGTGAGGCAGGCAGAACCTTGAAGCAAGGCTCTGGGACCTGGCCTCAGCATCTGCTAGCTGGACAAGTTCAGAAAATGTGTACAATCTGTCTGGCAGTAGCTGGACTACTAGGCTCATTCTGGGACTTAAATCTGGAATTGGGGTGTAGAATTCACAAGTACTGTGAATCCTTATTTCCTGTAACTCCCCACGAAAGTGAAGCGTTTCTGTCTGTTGTGCATGAAGACCTAGCTAGTTGTATCTCATGTCCCTGTCACTTTGTCGCCAGTGGAATTCACAGCACTTTGATGGCATTGCTGTTGGCTGCGGTTGTCAGAGCAGCACAGGTACTCACCACTGCTTCAAAGTGGAGACAGATCAGGCCCACCATTGAGTCTTGGTACTTACCATGTTAATACAGAGCAGGTACCTTACTCAATCAGATTTTTAAAAATTGATAGTATGTTTCTGTTCACTGGTTTCTTTTGTAACCCTATGACCTTTTTCATACATATAAAAACATGTCTTTGTTAGACTCGTGTAAGGTCATGGTGCAGTCAACCATGGCTCCTGCTGTAGATACTGGTGAACACATGGTGTTTACCTGTGAATAATGTAGGGCCATGGCAGAGAAACCTGTGTTTTGGCTTCAGTGTGAAGCACATAAAGAAAGAGTGGATTTGGGCGACTTTCCAGGGGAACCACTGTTAGCATTTGTTGGATGCCTGCCCATGAGCATACAGGAGAGAACAAGCCCCAGGATGTGTGATTGAAGCAAGGTGAAGCAACTTGGGAAGACTTAGGTTATCAGAGATGACAGGACATGAGCAGGAAAAAGCAGTCTTAGAAGGAAGATACTGTGGCGGTTAGAAATCAGGTAGCTGAATGTCCTAGCAGGGGCAACTTGGACATAAGCTGAAGGTATAATAGGATCAACTGGGTTCAGGTAGGTTGTCCTTGTTGAAAAAGGGGATGTTGTAAGGAAAGAAGACCATTTAGCAAAGGGCAGCCTGGAATAGCTAACAAGAGAGGAACATTGCTAGTTGGTTTCTAGGTGGAAAAACAAGAATGGGCACGCAATACTGGAATCAGAAATTTGATTCCCCAGAGCAAAAGAAGCTGGGGGATAGGGTTATTTTTATTAGGTCACAGACTTACATAAAGACTTTGCCGAAGCTCAACAGTAGTTGTTTGGTGGTGGTGGGCTTAGAGGCACATACAGAAATTGAAGAGGTGCCTGCCTGTGGAGGAGGTGAGAGAGAGTATATATTTGTGTTTCTAACAAGGCTCTTCTCTCCTCCCAGAATGTTCATACTGTCAAGCCCCGTGGGACCAGTATAAACTCTGCTCCACCCCACAGTGTCGCCAGCTTGTCTTGACCTGCCCTGCCTGTCAAGGACAAGGATTCACAGCCTGCTGTGTCACGTGTCAAGACAAAGGGGACAGGCAGGCTCCAGACTGTGCCCAGCACAACTTTAAGGAGGAATGTGAGTGCACAGCCCGGCGGCCACGCATACCAAGGGAGGTCATGGCATGCATGTCTCCTGGTGGGCCATGCTCATAAGAGTGGCTCCCTGGGCCCTTTCCCAGGCCTTCACAAAGTGGGATCGGAGCAGCTCACCACACATAGGGGAACACCAGGCTACAGAAGCAGACAAGTCAGCAACTTCATTGCAGGCTGACTGGTTACCATATTGACTACCCATACTTCATAGGGTGGAGGGAGGGAGTTAGGTGCTGAGTGCTTATTTATCTGGATTCATACCATGCTAGAGCATCGAGAAAGGTGAGCCATATGAGAATCCCGGAGCTGCTGGGGTGGCAGAATGGGGAAGCTGTGGCTTTAGGACTGATTCCTAAACCAAGTCACTTGCGTCGCCTGCTGTCTACCCTGCCCACACCCCCAGCCGCCTTTTCTCTGCCAGCCTTTGATGATTTGCAAACTGGCATTTGGCCATTTGGCCCTTCTCCTGTTTTTGTAAATAAAGTTTGTTGTAACGGCCTCACCCACACCTTTACATTTGATCTGTGGTCAAACCGAGCAGTTATGCCAAGAGACCATGTGCCTCACCAAGTCAAGCATGCATACTGTCTGGCCCTTTAAAGCAGGTTTGCCAAGGCCAAGTCTGGACACCTGGCTTGATGACACTGGCATGTGGCAGTTTTTAAATCCCCACCAGGGACAGGAGACTCTAGGTCACTCAGTGCTGCCATGATGACTGGCCAGGCTGCCAGGCACACGTGCCTGCCACTCAGGTCCCAAGAACCACATCCGCAGCCATCCATAGACCAACAGATTTAATGTTATGTTGCAACTTCCAGTGACGCAGAATACAGCTGCAGTTGTGTTCAGGGAGAAGCCGAATGGCACTGGCCGTCCCTGCAGCCTGATGCCATCCTGGGTCCGTTTGCAGCCTCAGTAGATGCTCTTCCGTGGTGGCGGAGCCCTGCCTCCACCTCCAGTTACCCTGTACCATCCATGTCCTCGGAGTTCAGTGTAGGAGACTTTTCCCTTTGCACTTGAGAAGTCTCTTAGCTCTTTGCTCATCTGTTCTCTGGCCTTGTTCTTGGTGAGATTTGCTGAATCACTAATGAAAGTAACTCCCCAAAGCAACAACAGAATCACATTAACTGGCACTGTGGTATCAAAAGGCACAAGGGAACTGTGGCTTAACCCCTTCTTGCTGGATCCCAGGAGATGCACATGATATGAAAAGGGGGATATCGGGCGATTTGGCTAGTGATTTCTGATTGTTTATTATCTGGATGTTTATCACCATCGTCTTTCAGAGGTCTAAGTTGCTTGCATGAGCCCAGTGGGCATGTGACTAATAAGAGGTGAGCCAGTCAGTCTGGTCTTGACTGTGCTAGCTATTGTAGCCCTGATGTGCAGTAAAGTGTCCCACTGCCGTATTGCCTCCATTAGGTGGCTCACCAACAGTGCAGCACACCAGGTGTTCTTGAATCCTTGGCTGCAGGCTTTCACACTAGGGGATGGATGGCATGCAGTGGGAAAACATTTCGCCTCCAATGTTGAATTGAAAACCATCCCAGATGTTTGTAAAGAACACCCCTAGTTGGGTTCATTGCCTGAGGTTAGTCAGGACACAGATGCACTGTTGGCCTTTTCATCATTTCTTCACACCCAGCAAAAGGAATCTCATGCCCTCCAGTCAGTTCCTGGCAGATCTTTGTGGCCTCGGGCTCCCTGTCTAAAAGGGAGAATTGTGTTCTTGCTTCACTATCAATTTGACAACTTTAACCCTGAGATTGTTAAAATTTAAAAGGGAGTTAATAAAGAATGCGTAACTGTTCAGTTTGCTAGGATCAGATTTGTAATAAAGAATTTGTCATGGTACTTGCAAGCCAGGTAAGAATTTACATATCCCAGGGGGCAACTAAAGCATGCCACACAGCAGGGCCACCAACACTGAGCTACTGGGGATGTCATTGACACCGTCATGCCTGATACCTAAGATCTATGCCGGTTTGAGGGCTTCTTCATTTTTAAATAACTAGACTGAACTTCTGTGACTAAAGGAAAACTTCACATTAATCATATTTTATAAAATTCTCAACTACAACCAACTAGTTAAACTAGAAACCTTAGTGCATAAAGAACTGAATCACGGTAGGGTCTGTGCTGGCATTGTTGCTTTCTGGTCTCCACAGCAGAGCACAGCCCGGCAGCAGAACGTGTCCAGTTCAAAGGCAGGCTCTGCACCTCCATGCCCTAGACACCGCTGCGGCACCTGGGAATGATGGGCCCGGTCAGGTCAGCCAATCTCCTCTTCCTCACTGAAAAGGAATGGAGAAAAGATGTCAGCTGGTTGTCCCTGGAGACAGGAGCCACCACTGGCACTGGGATGGCTCTGGGAAGCCCCTCTCTGATTGCATTGTTAGCAACTTCAGAAGCCACCTGTTTGTAAAGAACTGTGAGGAAAAACCCATCAGTGCTTGGTACAGAGAGGCTGTGGCAAGGGACACCATCCATAGTGTCCTTGTCCCTGGTCAGATGCACAGTTCTGTTTTGCTCAGCTCATGTTTTCCTCTTTCCTGCAGAGGTCCTCTAGCTAAAGGGTGTTCCTCCAATTCTGATAAGAGTTAGGCTCCGTAGATCTTACTGAGGCTGAAGTCATGACCTGGTGAAACCGTTTATCTGTCCCAGCTTGCTAGGAGTCCCCCCGACAGTCGCCTGCTAACATAAACAGTGATTTCAGCCCTGAAGGTTACCCTCTCCCGTGCTGTGTCCCCTTATGCTTAACCTTGATATTTCCCTGGAGACAAGACAGTTTATACCTAAACACTGTTCACAAGACAAAGTGGTAGAATGCCAGAAAGGGAAGCAGCAGCCAGGAGGTTGCAGGCCAGATATGTTAAAGAAGTCCTTTGCTTGTAACAGGGAGAGTGCTTTGAAATGTATTGTGATGTGGTCAGACCAAGCAGCAAATCAGATCAACCACAAGGCAGAAGGGTCATAGACCCCTGGAGTTAGAAGGCGGCAGTTAGGGGCTCATGCAGCAGAGACAGGAAGCTACTGCCGAGGGAAAAGTCTACAAAAATTTGTCTTCCAGTACTCCAGCAGAGATAAACATGTGGCAGAGATATATTTGGATGTCTTGGGCATCCAAAACACTCATGGAGCTGTTGCTCACGTGGGTGGGAGCTGGGGGAATGTTCTCGGGGTCACATGGGTCACCCATCCTGGGGCCCAGAATTCAATCTGTGCCTGAGCCCCTTCCCCAAGCCCAACACTTCAGTTCTGAAGAATAATTAGCAAATCCAGGTGGGCCATCTCACTTGGGGAGAAGATCTGTCTACCCCAGTTCCTGGAGAAACCAGAATATTAGATGGCTTGGGGACAAATGTGCAGGGATCAAAAAAGAGCAGAAGAGCTTTGCCCAAAGTGGCTAGGAGTTGACATGAGCAGACTTGTAAGCTTCTCTGTTAGCTGTGCAGTCATATCCAGGCCTGCCCAGAGCCCCTCCTGAGGTTGTAGATTGTTAGCACTAACCCCACTCCCAGGATGGCAGAGGGTACATTTCATGCTTAAAGCAGGTATCCAGGCTGGTGATTGCGGGCCTCACTGTGGCACCTTCCTTTCCACGAGCTGGTCTCATCCATGTGGGGCTGTCATCACTGGACCACCTCTGGTGCTTCAGAGGTTAGTCTTCTCTATGGAGAAAAGCAGAGCACCACAGGTCCTGCGCCCTGCTGTGGTTCCCACTTGCACTTGTTCCCATCACTATACCTGGAAGCAGCAGGAAAGGCCACAGGCCACAGCCTCCTGTCTCCTTGCCAATTGCCCTGCATGCACTGGGCAACATTCTACACTGGGAGAAGAGAAAGGAGCCTATGAGATCACATGGTTTTCCTCCCCTCAACCAACCCCCATTTTAACGATGGAGGAAATGAGACCAAGAGGAGAAAGGAACTTGCCCTGAGTAAGGGTAAATAAAAGTACAGGCTGGGTCTTCCATTGTTCAATTTGCTTTTCTTTTTAAAAACTATTTCTTACACATGGTTGCCACAACCAAAGACTTGCCATCGGCAGAGGCACAAGGAATCTTGAGCTATATGGACCAGCCACACACTATTTGTTGCCTGAACCCCTCTGTCACTTCATGTCCAGTGGACCAGCTTGTCTTTGGGAAGCACTTTCATTTATAGCATTTATTCAACAGCATTTACAGAGGACTCTCATGTACCAAGTGCAAGAACAAGAAATAAAACAGGAAATCAAGCTCCACAAACAGCACATAAGCTTTGGCAGGTCCCTGGCACAGCCCCCTGAGGTCTGAAAGGCACAGTGAATGAAGTGACCACATCTTCCTGAGAAGGGAAGGTATAGGGTTGAGGATGACAAGTGTTCCCCCCTTGCATTCGTAGGATGGTCTTTAATGGGACTACCTGGAATGGGTAGAGAGCCTGCCAGTTGGTTGCTCCTGATGTAGACAGCACAGGCTGTAGAGCCAAGCTGCTGGTCCAAATCCCAATTTGGGCTGTGCATTATGGGCAGTTTACATGTGTCTCCAAACCTCCATGACCTTGCTACGAGGTGGGGAGGAAAACAGCCTCTCCTCCCCCAGGGGGATGGGAGTTACAGAAATGAGTAAGATCAACATGTTCAGAATAGCACATGGCACACACTATATGCAGTGCAAGTAGCAGGTCTGCTACTGAGAGGTTTAGAGGCCCTGGGGGAATTGAACCTGGCAGCACCTGGAGCCCATCCAGGGCCATAAGCAAAGAACAGGTAAGATGCCCATGTGGGTAGCTGGAGGGCCTGGTATAAGGCCAGGCTTTGAGACCCGTGTGGAGGTGATGGCTGGGGTCAAGGTAGCATGTAGAATCCCAGATTTCTGGCTTGGTTGGCTGGGAGGAAATTGCTTTTTCTGAGACAGTTTTGGGGGGTAAAATATGACAGAGAATCTAGAAATTCCACTTCTGGACATTTTCCCAGATTTGCAATGAGTTTGTCAAAGAGATATCTGTATTCCTGTGTATGCTGCAACCTCACAGCATAGTTGGTTAGTCACCAGAATGCAGAATCAATTGGAGTGTCCCTCAACAGATGAATGAATAAAGACAACATGGTGGACATGTACACAATGAGATGCTATTCACCTTACAAAGAAGGAAATTCAGTGTGGCATGGCAGGTAAAACTGCCATCTGTCACACTGGCATCCCATAATTGGCACCTATTTGTGTCCCAGCTGCTCTGCTTCTGCTCCTAGCTCTTTGCTAATGCACCTGGGAAAAGCAGCAAAGGATGGCCCAAGTGCTCAGGCCCCCACATCTGTATAGGAAATGGATAAAACACCTGGCTCCTGGCTCTGACCTGACAACCCCGGCTGTGGCAGCCACCTGCAGTGAACCAGAAGATGGAAAATCCCTGTCCCACTCGATTCCTTTCAAAATAATTGGTTTAAAAAAAAATCTGTTACTTGCAACACCATGGGTGGAGCTGGAGAATATTATTTGGGGTACAAGACAAAGACATGTGTTCTTACATGTGAGACCAGCAATCACCCTACACAGAAGCAGAAGCTTGGAGTCATGGGGAAGTGACAGAGTGGACAAGATCTCAGGAGGGCACAGGAGGAATGGGTTTTAGCTCTCTTGCACAGCATGGCAAATACAGCCAATAATAGTCTATTAAGATAAGTGCTTGGGATAAAGATGTTGTGTAGCTTGATTTAACTGTCCCAGCTTGTAATCCTAAATCATAACATCACCCTATACATGCAACAATTCTAAATTTTCAATTTACAGTCAGATGCTTAAAAATTTTGAGGTGTGCTGTTCCTAAGGTTGTTCCAAAGGCCTTGGAGGACATGGGAAACAAGCACCCCACCTGCATCGTACTGACTTGGAGACTGAGTTTGTCAGGAGAGGGTGACTGAGTTTGTCAGGAGAGGGTGGGGCCTGATCTGAACTATAAATAGTGTACTGATAGGTGTGCCTCAGACAGGGTTGGGGAGGGGCAAGGAGCACACACGTGGATGAGGATCCACGGCTCTGCTCCTGCCCCACGCCCACCCACCATACCCGGACTTGCTACATTCAACACAGAACACCTGCCCCACAGCATATTGTACATGGGGTGGGCAGAACTGAAGGGTACCAATGAGGACAGGCCCAGACACTGGCTGACATGTGGCCTTGGGAACTGAATGTCCCCGAGGAGCTGGCACCTAACAGGTGAGGCAGGTGGCAGTGAGTGGGAAACCCAAGAGGTCTGCTCCCTTCCAACCAAGCTGCTAACCAGCACAGACCGCAGCCCTGGAGAAGAGCCAGAAGGATGCTTTCAGGATGTCAAGATTCAGTCGGGGGAAACCTGACAACCTTCTGTTTACTACAGCATCCAGAACAAGATGAGAACTATGTGCCGAAAGGAAGCCAGGAGGCAACTGTCACCATTGCCAGCCATCCTCTTGTGGAAATAAGTAGATGGGCACAAATTTGCTGTTAAAGTTACAACTCCTGGGCCCCCTAGTGGTAGGAATGTTGCCTGCAATGATTCTGTACCCATGCCTTCTGTGGAAAGCCCAAGGGGGCAGCTGCACACAGGTCCTGCGCCCTGCTGTGGTTCCCACTTGCACTTGTTCCCATCACCATACCTGGGATCAGCAGGAAAGGCCACAGGCCACAGCCTCCTGTCTCCTTGCCAATTGCCCTGCTTTGGCCAACACTATTCCTTCTGCTTAGTCTCATGCCCAGTCACAGGTCCTCCCATCCTTTGAGGCCTTTCAGTCGCTGCTGCCCTATAAACTGGGTCCCACTGCTTAGTGTTTGTACCCCAAATATCCCTCTGGCTACCTGCTGCAGCCCTTGCAGGAGTGCCTCCTCACCTCGCTCATGCACCTGTATCTTCCTTTCACGGCTATTCAGCCCCTCCTGCCCTCCTAAATCAGGGCACTTGGCTTCACTGGATTCTGGCCTCAAACTTCATTTCCTCACTTGGTTTGGACTGACTTTGTAGGCACTGCTGATTTTTCAGGCATGCCTTTGAGTCTTTCTATTTTTTTTCCCCTAAAAGGTGAAGATTCTAGACTTGGAGAACTGGCCCTTCTGCCACCCCTTATGTCACCGGGCACAGCCCAACAGCATACAAAAGCTGCCCAGAAAATGTTCATTGTGACAAACATCTCTGTGACACCAAGCCATTGTGTGCAATACTCCCTCATGCCTGGCTCCCACTCCCACAGCTGGCTTCAGTTTCTCTTGAAGGCAATGAGGAGATCGACTGGAGTTCCTGTCAGCTTCAGCACCCTTTGCTTCCTTTAGGGGCCTGTGATGGTCCCCATAAGGGAATCAGACCTGAGAGTTTGATCTCAGACCTGGGAGAATCCCCAAAAGCCATTTGTTCCATTATCCCAGTGCTCCTGTGACACTCAACCTCTGGCTACTTGGGTCCCCTGTTGCAAAAACAACAACCCCCAGACTACTGTGCCATTGGAGGACAAAGAAAAAAAAATGACAAAACCCCCAGATCACTGTGCCATTGAAGGACAAGGAAAAAACCAGAGGACAAAACCCCCAAACCACTATGTCATTGGTTAGCCCAGGGGTAGGCACTGAGAGACACATACAAATCTCAGTCTAATCTGGGAGGAAAACAGGAGATTGTTTCAATACCAGAATAAAACTCAAGGATATCAAATACTGATTGGACAGCTGGATCACAATCATGCCAACAGTTCACTGGCCGGCCTTTCACAAGGGTCTGGAGTCCCATATAGACTCCAGTGCGAGTTCCAGTTGCTGCATTTCTGATCCAGCTTCCTGTTAATACATCTGGGAAAGCAGAAGATGGGCCAAATGCTTCAGCCTCTGGTTCCTTGTGGGAGACCCGGGGAAACCGACACCTGGCCTTGGCCTAGCCTAGCCCTGTCTATTGTGACCCTTTAGGAAGTGAACCAGCAGATGGAGGATCTCTCTCTCTCTCTCTGCCTTAACTCTGCCTTTCAAATCAAACAGATAAATGTTTTAAATTTTTTCTCCTTTTTTTTTTTAAAGAATTATTTATTTTTACTGGAAAGGCAGGGTTACAGAGAAGTTCATCTGCTGGTTCACTCCCCAAGTGGCCAGAGCAATCAGAGCTACGCCCTCCAATCCAAAGTCAGGAGCCTTATCTTGCTCTTCCATATGGGTGCAGGGTCCCAAGGCTTTGGGTCATGCTTCCCTGCTTTCCCATCCCAGAAGCAGGGAGCTGGATGGGAAATGAAAAAGCCGGGACGCATCAGCACCCATATGGGATTCCGGTGCTTGAAGGAAGAGGCTTAGCCAATTGAGCTGTAGTGCCAGGCCTGTAGCAATGTTTTTATGCATGGGCGTTTCTGGATCCCAGGCTCTAGAAAGCAATGGTACCAGGTGAGCAATGAGTGAACAGCACCTGAGGTGTCCTGAAGAGCCAGAGCCTCCAGCATCCACACCAAGCCTCTTCTGGAACTCCTTCATGTGGAGCCTAGTAACTCCATCTGAAGTGCATGCAAAGTGTGTCGTTCTGTGCACATGGGTCTCTGCGGCCCGGCCTGGAGCATGCACAGCTACCACTGAAGCCCACTCTTCCAGTCTCAGACAGTCACCAGGCACCCGCCTGAACTCTGCCCTGCGCTGTAGATCAGGGACCAGAAAAAGCTGTGCAAAGAACACAGCTGTGAGTGTGAGAAACACAGAGGAGTCTGTCCTTGAAAACCCATAGTTATTTCATAATGTCATCCAATACTAAAACATAAACCCTTTTCTTAAAAGAACTTATGCTTCTTCCTCTTGTTTAACAAGAATTATGTAACTCAGTTTGTTTTCCGCTTGTCTTAGTTCCAGGAACAGGCATGATCAATCATGTTAACAACCTAGACCTGCTGCTTGTCTTTTTCCCCTCTTTTGTTTTCCTAGTATCTTGTCAGTCTTGCTCCCTTTCTTGGGGACTAAATCAACAGCAGGAAGAGCTTGTGGAGCAGCCTGCAGAAGCAAGGTGATGATTAAGCACATTCAGCTGACTTTCTATCTGCTCATCATCAAGACTATGACGTTTTATTTTTCATTACAGAAAAAAAATGTTAACTAAGACTGAACTGCTCTAACCTGTTTGTACTTTACCACAAAGTCAAGATTTCAACTTTTGCTTTAAAAGCAGCGTGATGTCTGCTTGGTGTGGGATTTTGGTGACAGGGTTGGTGGCTGCTAGAGGACCTTTGAGGCTAAAGCCAAGCTGGGATCTCTGAGGACTCTGCATTCAACCAGGGATATTCAGATCAGACTCCTGGTGAGCAGTGGGCCCTGCCGAACCCCCCTATCGCTTTCCACCAGCGTGCTGCAGCATGTGTGGTGCCAGTGTGCAGCAGTTAGTTGTCCGCCTAGTTGGGGTGGGGGAGGGACCAGGGAGGGGAGAATTCTCAGCCTCAGCTCCTGAACTGAAGGTCTAGGGGCAGAAACCAGGCACCAATGGAGGAAACAAAGCAGATTCATGATTCACTCAATGTCAAAGTCAGGGGTTAGCTCAGAACTCCCTGGGAGCTGTTGCAGTAGATTTTCCCTGATGCACCCAGGGCCAAGTGGAGGGACTGACACGCAGGGGCAGGGCAGGGGCAGGGCAGGGAGCAGGATTGCACTTACCAAGGTCATTATTATTCATCATGGCATTGGATGCCCGCAGCCGGGGCCCCTGCTGGGTAAAGTGGTAGCCGAATTTGAGAAGCGTTGCATTTTTTTCCAACATGTTCACAATCTCCATTTCTACTTTGTTGCCCAGGGGCTGGCTCTTTGATTAAAAACAACAAGAAAAAGCAAACAACGATTTACTACTTACTCTACTGGTGCAAATACCTAATCCACCTCTCTACCCAGAATCCCTGAGTGGTGTCTAGGGATTTTAGTCCCTCTCCCAGAGTAGGGAACTAGCACCCTTGAGAAATTGAAGCTGGGAGCCAAGAGCTGGGATTCAAACCCACCTCTGCAGAACCCCAAGAGACCCTCCTTCCCGTTACTCCCTCACAGCCCCTCTCAGATCAGGTATCCAGGCAGGAGCTCCACCTCCCAGGAACCCCTCTACCAGCTGGGCATACTAATAGAATCAGGTCCTCTAGGTGGAGTTTTTAATGACTTTAAAACAAAAAGAACCAGGTTCCCAGGTGAGGTGATTCCAGCATGCTGCGAAGCTAGGTAACAGGTGCTTTAGACTAATCTCTTCGACTGATGTGAGGGGGCAGAGGAGGATCCAGATGTCAGCAAAATCATTCTAGAAAACAGGAATGCTGAGGTTCACGTTCAAAGTCTCATCCTGATCTTATCGAGTCCCCTGCCTTCCCATTCATAGTGGTCACCAGAGAAGCATGAAAAGACCCAAAGGAGCCAAAGCACCAGAAAGACCTGGCCACAATCCTTAAGGCTGCTGGAATGGGTATGATGAGAATGCTCATTGTGGGCTTGTTTAAACCACTGGAAGGAAAAGGAAAACCAACCTTCACTGAAGACTACAAAACAACACTGGATGATGTTAGAGACCTAGAAAGCAAAAATCCCATCTTCATGGGTCAGAAGATGCAGTATTGCTGGAACGCTGTCAAATCTGTGGAGTAATCCTTATCAAGATTCCAACTGCCTCTTTTTTTTTTTTTGCATAAATGGATAAGCTGATCCTCCAAATCTCACAAGAAAATGCAAAGGACCCAAAACAGAGAAACTACTTTGAAAAGCAAAGAAAAAGTTGGAGAATTCACACACATTCTGATTTCAAAATTACTATCAAGCTGCAGTAATAGAACCTTTAAGGTAATGGCTTGAGGTAGACATACAGATGATGGAGAAATAACAAACTCCAGAAATCAATCCACGTATCTGTGTGAGATTGTTTTTCAAAAGGGGTACCCAGACAATTCAACAGGGGAGCGAATGGTCATTTCAAGAACTGGTGTAGACACACCTGCATATTCACATGCCAAGCAATAAATTTAGGTTTTTGCCTCACATCGTACAGGCAAGTTAACTCAAAAGTCTAAATCTAAGAGTCAAAACTAAAAAACTCTTTGGAGAAAATTTTCACGATCTTGCCAGTGTTCTTATGATATAGCATTAAGTACAAAAATGAAAAAAATAAAGAAAAAAACATATGCTGAATTTCACCAAATTTAAAACTCTTGCACTTCTCAAAGGACTCTCAAAAGAAAGTGAAATTATAACATACAGAATAGGGAAAAATGGAAGTTATATATTTGACAAAGACAATTATCCAGAATAAAGAACTCTTAGGACACAATGGTAAAAATAAATAAATAGGTAAAAAATTGGAGAAAGGATTTGAACAGATATCTCTTTCTGAAGAAGATATTCAAGTGGCTAATAAGATCTGCAGCATTGATGATTGAGAAACTGCAGAGCCAAACAACATTGACATTCTATTTCTCACACACACACACGATACCTCTAATGAAAAAGACAGTAGCATGTGTTAAGCAAGAATGTGGAGAAAGTGGAATCCTTGTACATCACTCCTGGGGGTATAAAATCATGTAACTCCTCTGCAGGACAGTTTGGCAGTTCCTCAAAAGGATAAAATATGTCAAGTGATTGCTAGCCACTGGCTCATGGCTGCCTTATGGGCTAGCCAGACATGGGACATTTTCATCATCACAGAAAGTTCTGTTAGCCAGGGCTGCTCCAGTTGAATGTGCCCAGGGTCTCTCCCTTAAGATTTGGGGAACAGAAGTGAATGGAGGAACCAGCAGCAGATGAGGCTTAGAAGACACATCCATCCAGCATCCAAATAGACAAGCAGGAACTGCAGCTAAGACTCAATTGGTGTGATGGCTCAATTGATAATCCTCCCCTTACAAGCCAGTTTGCATCCCAGCAGCTCCACTTCTCATCCAGCTCCATGTTTATGGCCTGGGAAAGCATAGGAGGATGGCCCCAAACCTTGGGACCCTGCACCTGCATGGGAGATCCAGAAGAAGCTCCTGGCTGCTGGCTCCAGCCATTGTAAACATTTGGGAAGTGAACCAGTGGATGGAAGATCTTCCTCTCTCATTCTCTCTGCAAATCTGCCTTTCCAATAAAAATAAATAAATCTTTAAAAAAAAAAAGACTCCATGGAGAACCCCTCGCCAGAACTCATCTGGGGGTTCCACTGAGCAGGGCTAAGGTGAGCATGGTGGGCAGAGAGATGCTTGTGAAATGCTAGCAGCTCCTCTGGCAAGGTTCCCAAGAAGTTAGGAGAGCTCAGTTCTGTTCTTGGAGGACTTGGCAGGGGCCTGGGCTCTGAGCAGCTTGGCTTGGCAGATGGAACAGTGACCATCTGAGGCCCCAGAAGGAGCTGGCAGCTCTCTTTGCCCATGCCATTGAGCAGGACACTTACTGGGGGAGCTCTGCTACAATGCAAGACAGGTTGGTCTCAGAAAGCCTGATTCTTCCCTGGAGTGGAGGGACTGCCCAGGCCCATGGAGGCTGCCTCTGGGAAGCCCTCACATCCTGTGGTATGATCCTAAATCCAAAGCCCATTAACATGAATTGCCACCTTCTACCTGCTTGCACACCCAAGAGTGAACAAGGACAGGCAGGAGCCAGCATGCCCACCTGGAAGATGGGTGAGCCCAGCTGGTGAACACATGGAAGTTGGACCATGCTTCTTCAGTGTATTAATTTCATAGTCACAGCTTGATCTTGACTTGGGGTGATAAGGAATGCAACAAATCTTCTAGCCCCCAGATATATTCTCTTTAAAGATTTATTTATTTGAAAGGCAGAGTTAGAGAGGCAGAGAAACAGTGAGACAGAGAGGAGAAAATCATCCATCTGCTAGTTCACTCCCCAAATGGCCATAGACCAGGACTAGCTAGGCCAAAGCCAAAAGTCTGGAGCTGTGTATCTGAGTCTCCATGTGGGTTCAGGGTCCCAAAGACTTGGACTATCTTTTGCTGCTTTCCAGGCATATTAGCAAGGAACTGAATTGGAAGCAGAATAGCCAGGATTTGAACCAGCATCCATATGCGATGCCAGTGCTGCAGGCAGGGCTTGGCCTCACACATCCCACCAGATGTGTCCGCGAAGGAACTGCTTGGAAGACTCTGACAATCTGCTTGTCCCTGGAGGTATGTCAGGGCAACCTCTTCTCAGAGTCTCCCTAGATTGGGACTTGCATCCTTTAGCAACCTTGACAGTGAGTTGAAGGCAAATGAGAAGCTTCTCCTCTGAGAAGAAACCAAGGAGTACAGCACACCTGGAGGACTGGCCACGGCAAACTCTGGGCATTAGAAACAGGGAGAGGGGGCTAGGAAATCAATCTTGCCCACCTGTACATTTGTCTAATGATTCAGAAATCACTTGTGAGCCAGTCAGCCTCGTTATCGAAAAATACAAACGACGCAACAGCAGAATGAACAATACAGAGGAGTCTCCAGCCCCACCCTTTATACCCAGTCCCACTTCTAGTCACCATGGCCAGTGTCCAGTGGGGTGTGTGGCTATGCATGGCATTCCAAGGAACTTTAGAACGTTCACGGAAAAAGGGAAGGGGGAGTATGAGGGTTTTTTTTTTTTTTAATACAGAAGACATTCTGAAATCCAAGCACAGTTTTATCATAATGTGCATTTTTCCATATATGAGGACAGAAGCTTTGACATCAAAATACACTTGTACCTTTAGATTTATTTATCTAATTGAGAAACACATTGAGAGAGTGAGAGAGACTCATCTTCTCTTTCAGTTACCAAATGCCACATTAGCCAGGGCTAGACTGGGTTGAATCTGGGAGCTGAGAACTCAGTCCAGGTCTCCCATGTGGGTGACAGGGACCCAGCTGCATGACTTACTATCGTTGCCTCCCAGGAAGAGTCTGCATTAGTAGGAAGTGGGGGGTCAGGAGCCAGTGCAAGAATTAAGCCCTGCTTACTTCTTAATAATTAATAATTAATTTTTAATTTAGGCCTAAGGATACCCTGGCAAAGATGGCCATTTAGGTGGTGTCCACACTACTCTGACACGTGCAGTGCAGCTTGTATAGTGTGTATAATGTGAGAAGTGTTCCATAGGCTGGCTAGAAAGCCACGGAGTGCTAGATTATAAGATGGACACACTATGAATTAAAGTTATGACTCCCCAACCAAAAGGAGATATGCTCCCCATGGCAGGGAGGGGTCGCTCGGCAGGGTGGAGGTCTTCCCTGGCTTCCTGGCCCTGAGAAATCATGAGCTGATACAGTGCTGTAGTTATCTGAAGACAAGACAGTGAGGCTAAGTCGTTTCATTTGGGGATCATCTATGACCCAGCTATAGAGAACTGACACGCGCACGGACGGTGCTAAGTAAAAATAGCCAGCTATAAATCACCCCATCTGGCAAAGTGAGAAACACAAGCTGCTCCTTCAGCCGCTCTTCAAACACGAAGCATGATACGTATGTCAGATACTGGGATCAACAGCGGCAGTCCTGGCCAGCCGCCTCCAGCCTCGCATAAACCTACAACTGGGTTGTCTTTCTCGGGTCTTGGTTCTTCTGCAGGCCATGACCCTCCATGATCCAAAGTTCCCCAGGGAAAAAGTCAATCTTGCTGTGGGAAGGAGGGTCAGGGGGCAAATCTAGGAGAGCAAAGAGCCTCATTTGCATGTGGCCTGTGTGGGATTCTTATGGGGGGCTCCCCTGTGCATTCATGAATGGAATCCATCTCTGGCATGGACATGACCTCCCACCCAGCTCTGCCCATCTCTGAGTCTCAGTTTTTCCACCTGTAAAACAAGGGCTGTGATGGATACGTTTTTTGTTTTGTTTCTTTTTTTTTCCCCTCAGTGAGCTCTGACTCTGGTTTGCAAACCCCCCTCCCTTCCCACTTGCCACCCTCCCGTGGTCTCCAGGCAACCTCACGCTGTATTGAGAGGAGGAGAGGCGGGCCGAGTAAACAGCTTTGGCGTCCCAGTGCCCCGTTCAGAGCCAGCCAGCCAGCCAGGCAGCAGGGCCCCTTGCCACCCAGAGCCGAGCACCTCACACATCCCTTTCTCTGGCCGTATAAGGAGAAAGGAGGCCAGAGACTCACGGGACACCAGCTGCAACCCAAGGACCCAGGACAAAGTTCTGCCTCTACACCACCCCCAACCCCCCCAACCCCCCAGGCCTCAGGGACTGAGAGTGAAGAAAAAAATATACGCCACTCACCACCTCCTCTGGGTCACACATTTCTGCTGTGCCCAGGCCTGTGGGACACCCTGTGAAAGGCACAGGTGGCCTGCCCCTGGGTGATCGGAGCCTCATCCTGAGACATGTTTTCCCCACCCCTTAGGCCTTAAGTCAAACATCCAGCAAGACAGGCAGAGGCATCTCCCCCACAGACCCCTATCTTGGTGCGATAGTCCCCTACTGGTGTCGCAGGTCCCCATGGCCTCTCCCTGACCCAAATGCTTTCCCTCCAACAGGAAACCACCTCTCCAGGGTGCAACCTGCTTGCCTTTGACCCACTCAGAGCTCTTTGCAGCCCCCCCGTTCTGGCCTTCCTCTAGGGGTTCTTGAGTCCTGCTTGCCCAGGATCCCCAGCTTTCTCCACTTCTCCATGATCAGGTGATTCCCTGCACCTGACGCCACAGCTTCCAATTCACCTTCCAAGTTACTTTTCACCCTCTATATTTATCTCCAATTCTGCCTCCTCCAAGAAGCCTTCTTTGATCCCTGCTGCTGACCAAGGCTGCTCCCTCCACTGGATCTCACAGTCCACTGTCTTGGCTTGCTGTGGCACCTGGTACCCTAGTCATTTCTGCACCTGTCCCTCTTCCCATCCAGGGTGGGATACCTGGGGTGAGAGCAGAGGTGGAGACTTCTTTACCCACACAGCCTGGCCCTGTTGTGCAGCCAGCATGCACCACAAGTTAAGACACCCCAAACAAGAGGCTCACGGGACGGGACGGGGTGGGAACCAGTTGCTCAGGCCTCATCAGGGGATAGATAGGGATAGGGTGAGAAGACATGTGAGGCACAAAGGAAACTCTACCAGTTTCAAGGACTGGTGGGCATGGTATGTGGACCTGGACATCACACAGCACCAGGTTCGACTCTTGCCTTTGTTTACCTACTATGTGACTTCAGGCAGGTTCCCCAGTCTGCCTGGGTCTTGGTGCTTTGAATATACAACGTGAGGGTGGTTGTCATGTCTACCCACAGTTTCAGGGAACACGGACAAGACAAGAAATACAACGCACCTATGTGGTTACTGGCTCCTGACTAACAAAAAGAGCCCTTAGAACAATGAACAAGTTCCTTGGATAATTCAAAAAAGGCTGAAAGCTCCTGATATTACACTTCATGAGTGAATTCTTGGGGTTTGTGTTGTGGCACAGAGTGTTTAGCCATCACCTGCAATAATCCCACACCAAAGCACTGGTTCAAGGGCTGGCTGCTCCCTTTCCAGTCCACCTCCCTGCTAATGCTCCTGGGAAAGCAGTAGACAATGGCTCAAAAACTTAGGTCCTTGCCATCCTCATGGGAGATCCAGATGGAGTTCTGGGCTCCTGGATTCAGTCTAGCCCTACCCCTAACCATTGTGGCTATGTGGGGAGTGAACCAGCAGATGTGTCTCTCTGTCACTCTGCCTTGCAATTTTTCTTTTCTGTTTTTTCTTTTTCTTTTTTTTTTTAAGAGCAGAGTTTCTCCTTGTGCCTCCTTTGCAGGAGCCCAAGGAAGTGAATGTTCTGGAGCCAGAGTCAGGGCCACAGCCATGATCAACAGTTGCAAGAGGGAAGGTGGTCAGCTAGCTGTCACCTGCCACCACAGCAACTGAGATGTAAGTTCCTGGTCTGTGGCCACTACCAAGCCTGCTGGGAGTCTTAGTTTCATCTGTTATCTCCCTCTTGTCTCTGTCAGAGCAGAGACAGCAATGGCTAAGGCCAGAAAGCATAAGGGTGGGGAGGGGCTGGGACGCAGCTGCCAGGCCAGCCACACATGAGAGGAGCAAGGAATTCACGGCAGGGTCACTGTGAGCTCATATGGCCTCTTGCTATGACTCACACAACAAAGGTGCCCACTCTGGGCCAACCCAGCCCCATGCAGCTTGGAGAACAGATTGTGAAGTGAACTGTATATTCCTTGTGTAATACATAATGCACCCAACCATCCAGGGCAACCTGCTTTCCCCAGCATCTCTGCAGGGTGGGGCGTGAGCTGGGCTTGGGATAAGAAGAACCCTAAAGGGGAGAAGACTCAGAAGTCATGTGGAAGGAGAAATGATGGGGATAAGAGGTCGGCATGAGGCTAGGGGGTAGAAAGACAGTGAACTATGAGATCTGGGCACCACCTGTCTGGCAGAGCCAGGCCTTCTACCGAGCTGAAGTTGGCATGCAGCAAGTCCTCCCCCATGACTGGGGGCCTAGGGACCCAGCGAAGGCTGGAAGAGCAGGTGGAAGGGAAGATAACAAAGCAAAGTGTGGGCCACCATAGAGGCTTTTAAGGGCTGGGCCTGGGAGCTCCTTGCCATCTGCTTCTGGCAGCAACATGTAGGCAAGTACAGCAAGGCCCTGTACAGGCGCCCCACCATCTCACCTGGTTGTCAATCTTAAGTTCCACTAGGGAGGTGTTATGGGGCAGGGCCTCCACCAGGCGCAGGATGCCGGCTCCAGAAATGAAGTTGGATTCCACGTTGAGTGTCTTCAGCACCTTGTTCACTTTGAGCATCTCAGCCAGGGCCTTGAACAAAGCAGGGGTGCCTGTGAATCACTCTGGGCAAGACTGGAGAGTCCCTCTTGGGGGGTGGAACTTCACAAAGGGCAACAGGCAAGCCCATCGCCCTGGCTTCCTTCATTGACCACGTCTCCTCCCCTCCACTTCCTGGCTTGGGCTTCTGAACCAACCACTGCTGGAGAATTCTCTCTCTGCTCAGCCTGCACTTAGAGTTCCTAGGGTTGTGGCCTGGGCCTGGTTCTCGGCCCCCTTCCCACATGGACCCTCCATTCTACCTTCCCTGGAGCCATTCCCACGCTTGCTCAGAGGGTGCCCACTGCTCCCCTGAGTCTTCCCTCCTTGCCACTACAATGCTTTTTTCTCTCTACTGCCCTGCCCATCGTCAATGTGCCTCTCTCCCTGAGAGCTTTTTTTTTTTAATAGTTTTTCTCAGCTAGCTGCTGCCTGCTCTCTCGAATTCCCACGAAGTTTATCCACACTTTTCTCAGGGGACACGCACACCTCAGTTTGAAGTTGGTTCTATCCCGGTGGCGTTTTCTATATCAGACCACATACTCTCCCTGGGCTACAAATGTACCCCTGGCATCCTGTGCTGCCCAGCATGTAGCAGGTCCTTGTTCACCAAGTGGATGATGGAGTCCCTGGCTCTCCTTGCTATGCATCACATACTCTACTACTCACTTCTATCACCCTCTTAAAAGGGTGTGGAGACACACTCCATCTGGGCACCAGAAGGCCTAGGGAACTAGCCCACAGGCAACTGCCCAGGGCCAGCAGAGTAGGAGAGCTCAGGTGACCCCCAGCACGTTTCAGAGGGATGCAGCCAGGGGTGTGGATGACTATCAGGGCTTCTGAAGGAAATGAGGTAATTAGCAGCTGGTGGAAACCATGTGTCATGGAGGAAAGAGGACACCCTGGCAGCTGAAGCCCGGGACATTCTGACTGGTGGGCCCTGTTCTCTGAAGTGACACTTGGACCCAGGTGCACCTGCCCTTCGTCCCTGCTGGCTCAGACCCAAGGAGCCTTGCATGTGGAAGGAGTCACTCACTCTAGTACCACATCAGCCCTCTCTATGGCCTGAGTAGATCAGCCCCTCCTGGGGACAGTTTGTGTACCCTTGGTACCTCCAAGAGAGCCCACTCTGAGCAAACAATCGACGTCTTTGTCAGCCAGCAAGCAAGGGTGCCAGGCCAGGCTAACTCAATCCTTTTGGTGCAGGAGGGGTAGTGGATAGGGCCTGGGGCATAGGCCAAGAGCCAGGGTAGGCAGTGGGCTCTGGCAGCTTCTGGCCTAGAAGCATCTCAGTGTTAAACAATGGGAATGCCAGGATGAACAGGCTGACATCAGCTGTTGACCTGGCATGGGGACCATGCCCCAAACACACTCATCGCATTGAGCTAAGCCTTGCATGGATTTGCCTGGCTTTTGGCCCGTAACCTCCAAAGGACAGGGCTGGTGGCTTTGCACCTGGGTCACCACAGGCAAACTCAGGATCCATTGGAGATCTTCCGAGGTCCTAGGTTACCCACTCTGACATTCCCTACTCATTGCTAGTAATGGGATGCTGGAAGCTATTTTAATCACTTCAAAGATATTGCAGAAAAACTGTCATGCCCCTGTGTGCAGGGTCAGCAAAGGGCTGCTTGCCACTGAGTGGTGAATCACTAGCTCTGGTGAGCTGCTTCCCACCCTTGGGGTAGTGACGCCCCTGCTGTCTTCTTGCACTTATGTGGACCATTCTACTCCTGACTGTGAGGGGCTGAGAATGCTTAGATGTGGCTATGTTCCCATCACTGCTGGGCCCCTGGAGGCTCTTGCCACACAGGTGTTGAATGCTTGACAATTCAAAAAGAACTGGTGACAATGTTGCTTAATTCACTTGTCATTCTTTTTGAGACATGGAAAGGTACAAATAAAAATCAGTCCTTGGGTCCCCGCTGATGTCTTCCTGTTGGTTGATTTCGAAGTAGAAGACAGAGAGGCCCAGGGAGGGACAGGCTCATGTGACATGCTGATCAGAGAGAGGGCCAGTCTTAGGGGTCACGTGACTACACTCGACAGCCTAGGACCACCTGTCATTTGCTGTGCGACTGTGTACACTGACTGACCTCTACACCCTGATTTTCCTGTACAAAGTGGGAAGACCTGTACCACTTGAGATCAGGACTGGCTAGGAGGAGGTATGGGAAGTGGCCCTGGGTGATGACAGTCCCATCCACCTCCTCTCCTACCTCCTAGACCTGCCCTTGCATTACACCACACAGGACACTTCCCCAGTGGGGTCCAGTTAGTTGTGAACCCACCAACTTCATGGCCTCTGTGTCTTAACCGCACCCCCAAGCAGCAGAACCGGGGATACGTACGAAGGCCACTGGGTCATTACTGCGCGTGCCCACAATGCTGAACTTTTTCACGTGTGAGTTGTCCTTCAGGGCTTCAGCATACGCCTTCAGGGTGGGGATGGGGATGTTCTGTAGGGAACAGGGAAGCAGGGGGTGACCAGCAGCCCACACCAGGTGGGCAATTAACCCTCCCTTTGGTAACCTGGCTCCTTGTTGAGTCTAGAAAGTCTCTTAACACCAAAATGGAATGAGCAGAGTGTCCTGGGGAGAATTTTCTAGTGACCAGACTGCAGAAACTCCAAATTGCAGAAAAGCCTTGCAACTCTCTATGTGCATAAGGAGCCTAGGAAAGAGGACATGACCAAGGTTGGGAAACTTCAGCAGCATTATGCAAAGGGCTCAGAACTGGGGGCTGGTGAGGGTGGGGCCTGGCCCCTGCCTTCTGCCCTCATGGTCAGTGACCTTTCTGATTTGCTGTGTGACTCTGGGGAAGTCTTCGTCCCTCTCTGGGTCTGTTTCTGAAAGCAGAGGTGGAGGGCTGTGCTTGCTTTGAAGAGACGCTAACCCACAGAGTGTCCTGGCTCTGGCTGTGCATCAGAGACTCTTGGGGAAATCTTACAAAATGCTGATCCCTGGGCCTGCCCCAGACCAAAACATAGGCAGAATCTTTGAGGGTATTGGTTGGGCCTGGGCAGTGGCATGTCAATTCTAGTCTCTGTGGGTGAAATCCAAGTGCCTTATGGGAGGGGAAATTGAGGTTTGGAGGGAACTGAGCCCCAAGGCAGAAACCTGGAGGGAAGTTCTACAGCCCTGTGCTGCTCTGAGTCGGTATTCAGTGCTTGAGAACACCATTCTGAATGGTGCCAGTGTCTCCCACTGGGCACATGGCAGGAGGCCAAGGCACCAGAGAGAGACAGGCTGGCTGTGTTTTTTTGCAGCTCTCTTATTTCAGGGAGTCACTTGAGCTCCCTTGGGAGTGGAGCAGGCTGGCCAGGTGGAGGAGGACCCTGGAGCACAGGTTTCCAATCTGATGGCGCCGTGGGGTCTGGCAACTGCTCAAAAAAAGTGGAGAAGAAAGGAAAGAGGAGCAGGAAGAAGGGGCTAGCTTCTTGTCTTACCCCATTCCCTCCTGGAACTAATCCTGCTGGCCCCTGGGCTGAGCAGGTGCCTAGGCAGCTGTGGTCTGGCCATGGGGTATTGCCTGTCCACCCGCCTCTCCTATGCTTTGATAGTTGCAGGGAGAAATGGCTACAGAGATAAGAGCATAGAATGAGAGGGTTTTTGGGAAAGTCCAGCTAGCCTCCTGTGTCAAATAGGTTGGCTCTGAATCCAACCCTGAATCAGTGATGCTCTATGGCAGGGCTGGTTCCAGCCTGGTGGGCACTGGGCATTTTGCCACCTTCAGATCCCGTGGGTCTGCCTGACTCATAGCTTTATCTTGGCGAATCTCTCAGTGTTTTGGAAAACAATGGCCGGTTTCCAAAGAGAAAGCTGGGTTGGCCTGCATGGTACATCTGGGCCTGTTGTCACTCTCAGATAGAAATCCAGCCTGCAAGTGTCCTGGCCCATGCTGTTAAACACTTCCCTCTTTCAGGGCTTTGCACCCTGCTTGATTCTGCAGGACCCAGGGGTCCAAACAGGATGCCTCAGCTCCTGCACAGCCCAGACTGACAGTGTCCAAGACACATGGGATGCACCCCCATCTCCCTCATCACACAGGTGAACTGAAAGGAAGGGACTTTACCCGGATGTTATTAAGGTTGACCTCTTCAAGCTTAGGGTCGTTGTTCTTGATCCGCTCTAGTGTTTCCTCCACATCTGTTGAATTTGGTTCTTCATCAGGTACGGGCTTGTACTGTGTAGGTTTAATCACACCTGGAGGGACCAACAAGAAACAAAGAGCTTGGTCCCTTGCTCTTGATCCAGGAGACTACGAAAGGAAGTGTGGGCAGAACTTGAGCCAGATGATGGTTGCATATCTGGGGAACCAGCAACACCATGGGGGAAGCCTTGCAGGAGGGCTGGGAGGTATGGACTCTGCCTGGACGAGCCCTTGATGTCCTGTGATAGTAGGCAAGTCACTTAGACTCTCTGAGGTTGGGGTCCCAATCTGTTAAGGGGGAACATCCATTCTACCTGCAGACATCTACCTCCATGGGCTTTCATGAGGACAAGATAAAGCATGCATGGGGAGGGAATGCATGCATCTTCCAGCTGGGAAGAAACATTCTTTATTTCCCTTTGGGGTTGAACCACCAGTTTGGAACAATGCAGTGGCACCAGACAATGTGGCACTGTCACAATAGACTCATGGAATAGAAGAGGCATCTAGAAACAGGTCCCTGTGGATATGTGGATGTGGGTGACATGGTGACAGGATGAATGGCACAATGATGACCTCATTCCACACCACACACTATCATCAACTCCAGGAAAAAAAGTGAACATAAGAAATAAACTTGTAAAAGCCTTAGAAGAAAACAGAAGATGATGTTTATGATATTGGGATGTACAAAGACTTCTAAACAAGACGCAGATCCCAGGAGACTCAAGGGACAACATGGCCAGATTTGACTACAGGAAAAATTGGAGTATCTCCTACTTGCCAGGTGCTTTGTAAGAGCTGGGCCAGGGGTAGGGTGTGGGGTTGGTTGGGGGCTGGGCACTCTGGGATGTGTACTCACTGTTGAGTCCTTCTTTGTTGACAATGGAGCTGCTGCCCAAGGCCTGGTAGTACTGCTGGTTACTCATGAGTGTGTGCATGCCCAGGATGGCTGCAAGGACAAGAAAAGGTTGTGACTCTCTTCTCCCAGATAAGCAAGACTGCTGGGGGCTGACACACTGCCCCTTGGGCCCTTTTGTCACAGAAATGGCATGAAATACTGATATGAACACTTAGCTTCATTTATATTTGCACCTATGTGTAAGTGACTCACGTCTCCAACCTGGCTCGGACCTATCTAGCCCCTCTCTGCCTCAGAATCCTAGCTATGTCTTGAGTTCCTGCTGGTACATCCAACCCAACCCAAATGAACCCCAACTCAGTCCAACACACCCCAACTCAACTGAACCCCAACCCAACCCCAACCCAACACCAACTCAGCCCTACTCAGCCCAGCTCAGCCCAGCTCAGCCCAGCTCAGCCCAGCTAAGCCCAGCACAACCCCCAATTCAGCCCAAACAAGAGGGCATCTTTCCCAGCAGGAGCCTCCCCTGTGTGGGGCCACCTTCCATTTCATCACCCTACCTGTCCCTCAAGGCATCCTTCCCTTCTCCCTGGTGTCTCTCAGGCCTACCCCACTTCCCACCCCATCACTGTCTCTCGGTTGAAGCTATAACATGACTTGGCTGTATTGACACCTCTTGAGTTTGGATAGCTCAATTCACAACTTTCTCAGCTTTATCATGGTGCCAAAGTGATACGTGTTTAGTGAAAACTGTACTTCTTTGGGGGTTGGGAGTTAGATATTATTCTTTGCTGGGCTAGTGACAAGCAGTACAATATGCTTTCTTGATGTTGTTGTGTCCTGTTAGTGGTCATCACACTGAGCAAGCAATACTGTGCAATGTACTGTGTGGCACAGTTGAGGTGGTCGGTAGGTTTTATGTGCTATGTACATCTTCATCAAGGACATTTTTACTTTTCAGTGGGTTCATTGGACCCTAACCCCAGGAGCATCTGTATTGCCATAACCATGTGTTCCCTGGGGTCATGGCCTTGGGGCCCTCCTACCCTCTGTCTTCTGACATTCAATATAACCCCATCAGAAAAGTCTTCTAGAAACACCACTTTGACCATATCACTCCTGTCTTCAGTCATTCATTTGTTCAATGCTTATTGAGCTGTTGGCTTTGACTTGGTCAGCCCCAGCAGGCCCAATTGGGGAATTAATCAGTAAATGGGTGTTCCTTGTCTCTCTCTCTCTCTCTCTGCCTCTCAAATTAGGAACAATAATAACAAGGACAGTGACAATACCCCCACTGAGTGTACACTTTGGATGGGCGCTTCTTAGTGTGGTTGCACATTGGAATTGGGTGAACCAACAAATGCCCTGTTAGAAATTCTGACATCTCCGGGTGAGGGTCCAGGCCCCTGGGGGCTTTAAGGGACTAAGCTGTCACCTGTGACCTTGACCCACTTCCAATCCAGCTCCCCCTGGCTCAGCTCCTGTACCTGGGAAAGAGGCGGAAAAAGGTGGGCTCCTGCAGTTATGTGGGAGTCCTGGCAGCAGCTCTGGGTTCTTGGCTGCCACCGGGCACAGCCCCAGATGTTGCAGCCATTCAGAGAGTGAACCAGCGGATGAAAGACCTCTTTCTGTTCTTCCTCCTTGTGTGTAACTCTGCCTTTCAAATACCTATATACATACGTCCATAATACATACATAATAAATTTTTTTTAAAAAAAAGAGTCCTCAGAGAATTTCAGTGGGCAGCCAATGCTCCCTTACTCGGTATAACCATGCTGTGCAGATTTCATTCTCATGGGCCAGCCCCCACTCCTTCTGGGCCAGCCTCCCCTCCAGTCTTTTCAGGTTACAGAAAGCAGCTTGGGGTCCTTTTCCAGCCATTGAAGGCTGGAGCAGGGGTGAGTTGGTCTGGCCTGAGCTGTTGGTGAGGAGGACTCACTGTGGAGGGACCAGGGAGGGTCTGTAGCCATGAGGTCCTCACAGCTGTCCAGATGGGACAACAGGGGCTTGTGATAGCCATGCCCAAACCCCAGAGTCCAGCTCCCTAGACGCTCCCCCTCAACCTCTCTATAAATTCCTCTTTCCCAGGACTTTTGAGAAGGCCCCTGGTATTTGAGGAAGATATACATATACATAAATATATATATATTAATCCCCGGGTCATTTATATAGATATATTTTCTACTTAGAGAGCTGACCTCAGAGCTCTTGATGAGGAGAATCAGAAGACCCCAGGTCGAGTTCTGCCACAACCTTGATGCCAGTGGGACCCTGGGCAAATCTCCCCTCTGGGTTTCTATCTCCTATGCCCAGTGAGGGAGTAAGACTAGGCTAGTGTATTTTCAAACCACAGCTGCACCTGCAGCTCTGTGGGAGTTGTGGCGGAGCGTGGGGATGGGCAGATGACTACAACACAAGCTCTACCTAGGGCCAATCCACCCAAACCCCTGGAAGGAAGGTCTTGAGACTCCCCTTGGGTGACACTGGTGTTCATTGGTACCCCCGCCCCACCAAGAAGATGCTCTTGAACAAAAGAATCCCTTCTGTTTCTTACAGTCAGGAGAGTCTTCTTGGCTAAAATTAAACCTCTCCGATCATCACCCAGGAGAACTAGGGAGGAAAGAAGCATCTGCCTCCTCCTCTTTTTTTTTTTTTCCTTGCAGCTCTCCGTGCTTTAATTTTGGCTGTGCCGACGTGGGCAGCCAGAGTCAGCAGGCCTGAGTCAGCAGTAGGTGAATCGACATGATGACTCCTCCCTGAGCTGGTGCTTTCAGCTCCCTCCCAGCCCATGGGGCCTCTGGGCTGCTCCTGGTTTTTTGGGTTTGGAGAGGTTTTGGGGAATCCTTTGAAAGCCATAACCTCACAGGGCTACCTGGTGTTGCTTAAACACCCTGGGAGAGAGGTGGAAAACTGAAGTTGTGTTTGGTCCTTGGATGTCAGCTTCCTGCGATGGTCTGCAAGTTCAGATCAAAGGCATGGAAGGCACAAGGACCTGCCAGGGTCCAAGAGGAAGCACACCTGAGGCAGGATGGGCCTTGGCACTGATTTTCTGGGTATCCCTGTATAGATCACTTCCCCTTGGGGGCTTCAGCATTCTTCCCCTGGGAAGTGGAGGGAGCTGGACCGTGGGGCCCCAACCCTCCACGGGACACAGCAGCCACATACTAATCCTACATCAACCCCTCATGGCCTCGCCTTGTGTCACAGTGAGCACTTGGGGCAGCTCTGCTGAGCTCCCATACTTTCTAGGGATCTAATTTGCCAAGAGCCTCCAGTAAAGGCTCTCCTGGCTCCTAGCCTCCCAAGAGGCTGGTAATGGGAGTGTCTGTTGAAAGTGGGCCTGAGAAAGAATAAAAGCATTTTGCAGTACAGGAAAGTCAGGGGACCGGACAGGAAGGGGGCAAGAAGAAAGGAAGGAAGGGAGGGGGGGAGAGAGAGAAAGGAGGGAGGGGAAAAAAGGGAAGAGAGGGGAGGAGGGGGAGAAGAAGGAGGAAGGGGAAAGGGAGGGGAAAAGGAGAGAGGAGGAGTGATGGAGGTGAGAAAGAAGGGGAGAAAAGAGGCAAGAAGGAACAGAAAAGGGGTTGGGACAGAGAGGAGGAGGGAGAGAGGAAGCATAGGAACAAGGAAGAGGGGGAGGGAAGGAAGAGGGAGGAGAAGGGAGAAGAGAGAGCGAAGGAAGGAGGAGAGAAGTGGGAGAGGCTGGAAGAGGGAGGCAGGCAGGAAGGGAGTGGGGAAGGGGAAAGGGAGGGGAACGAAGATGAGGGAAAAAAGGAGAAAGGGGGAGCAGAAAGGAGAAGATGGAGAGGAGGAAAGGGAATGGAGGGTGGAGGAGGGGAGAAAAGAGAGGAAGAAAGGGGGTGAGGGGGAATGAGAGAGGAGGGAGCCCGCAGCCCTGCTGAGCACAGTAGGGGTTCTGTCAGTGCTGTTCCTCACCCCACCCCCACAGCCTGCACTGGGCACAGAGTGGGGACTTTCCTCCTTACTCGGTTTTGCCCACTCTACATCACCAGGCATGAGCAATGGAAGAAAACAGCGTCTTCACTGCCTGCTGCTTCATTCTTTGTACATATCGGCAAAGCTGAATTTAGCACTGGGAAACTTGGGGTTGGTTTTTTTTTTTTTTTTTTTTAAGTCTAGATCTTCCTCAAAACTCAAAAAGAACTATTTTTGAACTCTGAAAGGAACATCGCGTCCTGTTTCCTCTGCCTGCCCTGGCAGGGTTCACTCCATTTGTAATTCCATCCAGGACCCAGAGATAACGGCACTCATCATGGCCTTCTGGGCTGCTGGCTGCCTGCTGCCAGGCTGGCATTGTGCACGTGGCTCCAGGTCTTTTCCCACCAGCTGGGGACAGGTGGCCGAAGAGGAGACTGGTGAGCAATCAAGCCACTTTTGCACACATTACACACTGACGTGGGAGAATGGGAGGAGGACAAGGGCTGAAGCATAGCAACATGGCCAGGGGCCAGAGGGTGGCCTGAGGGCCATAGGAGTCAGGGGCTACCACTGCCCTTGGGGGTGAGTAGCCTGAGCGGCTGCCCTATCTGAAGGATTGATTTCCCACCCTACTCTCCTCCCAGGCCCTGCCCCACACATAGGATCCTTAAAGATCAACCAGGATCACGTGCCTGGGAGGGCACAAGTGGTATTTGCTTCTTGCAGTTCACTCGCAGTGATCTCCATGCCACAACCCAAGGCCGCATGCCCAGAGCTTAGCACCGTCATGGCCCAGCCTGCACCTATTGCTCACCCCTGTGGGTGTCTACATGTTTCTGCTTTGTCCTCCCTATCTGCTCCTGGGTCCCTGAGGGCAGAGACTGGACCTGACCCTTCAGTGAACCAATGCATGAGAGATGCGCCTTACCTGTCACACCTAAGTCAGTGGGGCACACTGGTGGCACTTTCCTGCCAGTTCCTACCACTGCAGGGTAGCAAGCCTGCCAGGTGTGCCCCTGCATAGTAGGTGGCTTGGAGGGACTGACTCCTTCCCAGCTCAGAGGTCCTGGCCCTGCTCTTTCCTGCTTGACCCTTCCACTGGTTCTCAGATGGAGTCCTGCAGTGCTGCCCATCCCAAGGCCTCCTCTGGGGCCAACATTTGCCATACCTCAGAGTACCACCACTTCTGCCTCTCCCAGCACTCCCTGGTCTCAGAGATCTCTGTCACAGCACCTAGACTCTGCCCCAGGGTGGCCTCGCCGTGTCCCCAGCTGACCTCCTGAACCTGGGTTGGGTAATCTCTCTAGCTCATCCATTGTACCCTTCCCCTCTGACAGTAGGTGGTGACCCTGCCACTGAGTTCTAGCATGACTTTGCCTGGGATCAAGACCCCTTGTGCAGGGTACTGAACCTCACCGTGTCCACTTTCTCCACCTGTAAAATGGGTCAATAGTAGAAGTGACCTCTTTGAATTGTTATGGGCAATAAATACAACAAGGTGTTGTAAATAACTCACCCAGTGGCTGGGCCATGCTCATCCCTTTATCCCCAAGAGGCATGGCTTCTCTCCTGGGGCTAATAGGAAATGACAGTCTCCGAGGCTGGCCAGTTAGTGCAGGGGCAGGCTCACAGCTCCCTGCTCCTGCCTGGATGTGGGAGAGTATGATGGACAGATAATAGTCCACATTTTTGTCTCCACAAAGGCAAGCATGAAGAGAAACGCTTTCCAGAAAGCAGTGGAGCAACCCAGCCCTGCTCAGTGCTGTAGGTCTGCTCCGGCTCCAGAACTGGTAGGGCCATAGTTCTGATGGCCATTCAATAACCCCCAGAGCCATGAGGGGAGTGATGTCCCTGCATAGCAGGTGCTTTGGAGAAGGTGCAGAAGGAAAACGGTTCCAGGGCCAATGCACACGTGTGCAGGTGCTGGCTCAGGGCTGCAAGGGCCACCCTGGTCCCCCAGGCAAGCATGTGGGTAGAGGCAGGATCCAAGAGGGCTGGAGAGACTTGTGCCAAGCCTGGGCTCACCTGCCGAGGCAGCTGGGCATCTGAGCCTGGCATTCCATGCCTACGTGGATGAGCCTGCCCAACTCTGCACTTGGCACTGAGGGTCAAAACCTTTTCCCCTGGCCCTCTCTCTCTCTCTCACTCTCTCCCCTCTACCTGACACTCTTTATTCTTCTCCACATTTTTGTCTCTTGAGCAGGGGGCTTCCTGGGTTCAGGGGCCGCACACTACTGTCCCCTTTAGTCCTTGAGTTCCTGTATCCTGTTTTGACTCCTGCCCAGGATCACTCCAGAGGGCAGAGTCTTCCCTCTTCCAGTCCCACCATGACCCACCCCTGTGGGGTTCCCAACTTCCCCCTGAATGCCATCAGGAGTCACATACCACACCTGGGGGCAGCAGACAGTCATGGGTGGCCAAGTCCCCTGGAGCTGTTGGCTTAGCCATCCCAGACCCCTCTCTCTTGTCTCAGCTGTTGGACCAGGCTTTTCCCATCTCGATCCAGCCTGTGGGTCCCAGCCCTTTTGCAGCTTCCTGGCCTCCATGCCAGCTTTGCCCCATTTTTTGTAACTTGTGTTTTCAAAAACTGCTGCCTTGACCTGACACTTGCCCTGGTGGGGTCCCAGTTTCCCAGCCTGCCTTGTGCTCTGAAATAGATGGCAAATCTGATGAAGTTGCTGAGCCCTCCATGAGCCTCCCTAACAGAAGGGGCTGGAAGTCCTGTCTGTTCACTCTTCCCAGGTACTGGCGAGAGCAGGAGTTGGTGCAAATAGCTAGGAAAGGGCCACCACATGGTCCCCTCCTGGGCCACCTCCATGACCCTCTGGGATGGAATTAGTCGGGGGGAGGTGGTCTCGGGTTTTGGATCATGGACTATCACCCTCTTGGCCTCCTCTAGTCCCTTTGAGAACTGGCAAGGCTGTTCATTTAGAAATGAACCACACAAGACTCCCTGCAGATGTATGAAAAATGCTTCTGGAAGATACCGGAAGCTTCTAGAAGGTCTCCTACCTGCAATGTCACAGAGTTCCGCATCGGTAGCATTTGCCAAGGCCTCCTCCAGCTCGGGCTCTAGCGTCACGCTTTCCAGTACGGGATCCATCGGCTTCTGCTTGGGGACCCAGACCTTGCCTGAAAACAAAAAGTCACACATGACACGGAAACACCCAGAATAGCAGACCCACAGCAACAGAGGGGAGATCACCGGGGCTGGGGCAAAGGGGCATGGGGCAGGCTCTGCTGAGATGGAGAGGATGGTGGTATAACAGAACACGTGCCCTGAATCAGTGACTTGACCTTACTTTATGTTATATGAATTCTACCTTTGTTAAAAGCAGAGATCCTCAGTTGTTGGAGAAGAACCCAAAGTGGGTGAGAATATGATCAGTGGGGACAGGAGGCCACGGTCCAGCAGCGACACCGTGCTGGTGACCATGACCAAGGTGGCAGGGGTGGAGGTGGGGAGGGAGGGAGTGAGACATGAATGGAGAAGCATCCAGAAGGACGTTCACTAAATGATGTCAGTGTTGATTTCCAGTGGAGGGAATGACTTTGAATGATTTTACTTTCTTCTTCACAGCTGTATCAATCCCTTCAACAGTGAAAGATGCACAACAGAATCCTTCAGGGGAAGGAATGTACTAACCACCATACTGATCAGAAGCCAAGGGTCTGGGGAACCAGACAACAGACCAGGACAGCAAGATGCCTCAAAAGGAACTCAGCTGGGAATATGACTGATACATCGGCTGAGATCAACAGCCCAGGGATATTTAGGGCCTGTGTAGTCACTATCATTGAAGACCTGGACAATCTTTCTTCCATCTTACTAGCTGGAATGTGAATGTGATGTCTGGAGCTTCAGCAGCTAGATAGGCCATGAGGATTAAAGACATATTGTAGAGTGAGCAGAATAAAAGGCTAGGAAGGAGTGACGGATGCCAGGTATCTCGAAGGATCTACATTAGCAACTCTGAATGCCTAGGAAAATGAAACTTTGATTAAGAACATGTTACTATTCCCTCCTCCAGCATAAGCAGTCACATTTGATTCTAATTCCCTCCCCTATTCTTCTTGAAGGAAAAGGCCTCTCATTGCACTGTAACTGGCCAGGTTTTGGGGTGCTGCTGCCCTTCATTCTGAACTAGCCCTGGGCGCTATATGGGGTTAGAGCTCAGCTAGGGCTGAATGGAATGTCCTTGGGTCTGGCAGGAGGTCTCCTGTCTCCCTTCATGGAGACCTCCACTAGGGGCTGGCATTCAGCTTATTGGGTTAAGCTGTAGCCTGTGACACTGGCATATGAGCACTGGTTCAAGTCCTGGATGCTCCATTTCTGATCCAGCTTCCTGTTTAATGCACCTGCGAAAGCAGCAGGATATGGTCCAAAATGCTTGGGCTCCTGTCACCCATGTGGGAGACCCAAAGGAAACTCCTGGCTCCGACCTGGCATAGCCAGTCCTCACTGTGTCTGTCCCTTTGTCATCATGTACTAAACAGTGGTCAGGGTGGGGCATGGTGCTAATGGACAGGGAGGGACGCAGCAGTAACCGCTTTAGACATGGCCTTGGCTCCCTATCTCTGTGTGCTGGGGATGGGGGTAGTGGGAGAGAACGCACAGGACAGAAAAGCAGCAATGCATTCACTACACAATGAGAATCAAGGCTTCCATCTGATGCATATTTGTTAGGTCCCATTTCTGGGCTAGGGATTGGTTCAGTTCTGGGGATCTAAGGATGAACGAGACAGAACTGGTCCCTGTTTGCTACAAGTTTGTAATCTAAGGAGGGAGTCCTGGAGGCTCACCAAGTCTCCACATGACCAGGACCTGGGTAGCTGGGTGCCAGGGTAAACTACCTAAGCTGTAACAGCCCCAGGCCCTGCCCTTAAGGAGCTTTTAAGGCTAGAGAAGTGGGGCAGGGTAAGAAGTAGAGATGCTGATAAAAAAAAAAGATGATGATTAGTGGGGCCAGTACCATGGTGTAGTAGGCTAAGTCTCTATCTACAGTGCCAACATCCCATATGGGTGCCTGTTCAAGTCCCGGCTGCTTCACTTCCCATCCAGCTCCCTGCTTGTGGCCTGAGAAAGCAGTCGAGGATGGCCCAAGTGCTTGGGCCCTTGCATGAAGCTTCATGACCTGGATGAAGCTCTTGGATTCTGGCTTCCAGCTGATCCAGTTCCAGCCATTGTGGCCATTTGGGGAGTGAAAACAAATACAACCCCCCCCCCCAAAAAAAAAGACAAAATCTGTGGTCAACTATTTCAGGTTCCTGAAATGGAAAGTAACTATAAGAGAGAGAGCTGAGGAAGACTGCATGTCCTGAACAGGGTGGGCAGGGCCAGCGTCCCTAAGGAGGTAATAAGATCTAACGCCCATGACACGCCAGGTGCTGCTTTAAGTGCTTTATCTATATCTGGACTCACTTGATCCTCATAGCCACCTCATGAAGCTGGCAGTTGGACGCGCATCATGCTCATTTGACACGGTATGAAATGAATCCAACAGCCAGCTTCACAATGTTACTTCTGCTCAGACAACTCACAAGAGACAACACCAGGAATGCAACTCCGGTAGACCCAGCCTCGAGCCTGTGTTTCCAACCACGATAGCTCTTACAGGGGAGGGATAGCCCTCCAGGAAGGCAGCAAGGGGCTGGGCAGCAGGACACCAGTACTCTGGGCATAGGAAATACACGCAAATGTCCTGAGGTAGGGAAAGGAGCTCAGAAAGTTTGAGGAGCAGAAAATGGCCTGTGGGGCAGCAAGGCGAGTATGATACAGGGGCATGGCAACCTGGGTAGGAGGCCAAGGTAGAGTCCCGGAGGACTGGCCTTGACCATCAGGACCTTCTAGAATGGGGAGTCTTGGAGGAACAGCTAATGGAAGGGATGCTGCATCTGTTAGAGTGGGAATTGTGGGGAGAGAGCAAAGTGAACCAGGGAGATGGACACCCCTGGCTTCTGCTCTGCACTGGATGCTCCCTGCTTGGGCCGCTGGTCCCCATGTTGTTGCTGTCAGTAGTCTCCTCCTTGACATACAGAACAATCTAAGTTTGCATGAAAACCAGCCTGGTGACCCTGCTCAGGGGGATTCAGAGCTAAGATCTGCTGACCCAGGCTGGTGGAGAGGACTTTTTCCCATTTACCAACCAACTTGGCCAAGCAGACAGCATGCACTGAGGCTTCAGGAGCTGGGAGTGTGGCTTATTGTTGAGCATGGGGCTGGGGACAGGAAACGTTGGTCTGATGTGGTCCCTCCTTGTAGGGCAGGGCCTGGCCCGCCACCACCACTGGTACTTGCTGGGGAACGACACACGTGGACAAGCAACATGGTTTGGTACCTCGTTTCTCCCCCGTGTAGGGGACCAGATCTTCTCGGTCCTTAAACTCTTTTGCTTGCTTTTCCAAATGGTCCAAGAGCTCCTCTCTTTTAAAGGGGCCCGTGGGCGCCTTGGTGGTCTGATCCTTCTGCCTCAGGCCTGCAGGCAACAGAGCATTCTATAAGGGAGGTAGGGAGAGGCAGAACAGAGAGAAAGAGAGAGAGAAAGAGAGAGAAGAGGAGAGGAGGGAGGAGGGGGAGAGAAACAGAGAGAGTGCGTCAGCGGCTGAAGGCTTGCCATTCTCCATGTTCTCACCAGGGACCCCAGAGTTCAGCGACTCCATCCCCATCCCGCACTGATATACAGCAAAGGGATCTGAATTCCAAAGGGCCAGGGGCAAAGGCTGGGTGTCTCTCTATCATTCCCTGGGTGTGCCCCTACCTCTAATAGGGGTCAAGGTCAAGAGTAAAGAGGCAGGTAGGCAGCCAGGCATCAAGGAGCACCTGCTGAGATATGGGTGGGGCTAGGTCAATGTTTAAGGGTGTGAAGATGCCTATAGCAGGTACATCTCAAGTGCGTAGAGAAGATGCTAAAGGGGTTTTGAGTTGGGGCCTGGAGACAGAATCAGGCAGGAGTAGGCAGTGGAGCCAATACAGAAGCAAAGGATGGCCCTGGGGCAAGTCTAAGCAGTGGGGCAGATGAGGCATGCTGGCAGCCTTGGGCTCTGGGCTCAGAACACACTTGGGTCCTCACACATGGACAACATTGCCCCTGGCAATGGGTGTCTGCTTCCCACACATGGAGGGCTAAGGCAGACTCCCCACCTTGTGGGGGATTTGAATGCTGTTGGACTCACAATGACTCGGGGTCTCTCAAGGGTGGAAGGACCTTATAGCTGCAGGATTGCTTCCACATCACCAAGGTCGACGCCCTCTCTTCCAGGGGAAAGGGGAAACCAAGACCCAGAACAGCAAAGGATCTGCTAAAAGTTTTGGGGAAAGATACAGAACAAAACCCAGGGTCTCTCCCTCAAGGCTGGGGACAGGAGGCCTTCATCTATCATCACTCTGCTCACCCTGCCTCCTTTCATGGGGAGAGCAAAGGGGATATCTGGGAGGCAGAGCCTGGCTTCTTGCCACACCCCCAGCTCACTAAAATTGGGCAGTCTTCTTACCTTACATGTTTCTATCGCATCATGTATCTTTCATCTCCACTGCCCTCCAGCCCCAACACTCTAAATCCTAGTTTGAAATCTTTCTCCAAGAACCAAAGCATACAAGGAGGCCCAGGCCTGGCACAGGGAGGGACAATGCCTGGGAGGCAGCCATTGCCGCCCAGTGCACCTGTGCTGTTAGAGATGTTTTGTCACCACCAAATGTCATGCTGCTGTTCAGGGAAGGGCAGTGGCTTTACAATGGGGAGGTGGTGACCCTGCTCCTACATGGAATATAGGTGTGCATGGCCCAGGATGTGGGGCTCCCAGATGGTGCTGGTGGACCTGCTCATGGATGGAGGGCGCAGATCAGCAGAGATGTGTAGGAGCTGCAGCGTTGTATGGGAGAACAACTAGGAGGTCAAAAATCAAGCCTTGTCTCATTTTGGAGCATCACTGAAGTCACACAGCCCCCAGCTTTAAGGCTAGGTCTCAAACACTATGCCCTCAGCAGGCAGGACAGGCAAGACATCCAGAAGAGCCGTATTCTGCGGACAGGTGCCAGGTTGGATGGGCTGGCCCACGGCTCACTGTGTATGCTTAGATGCTCTCCATGGGCAGACAAAAACTCCCTGCTGTACAAGCCACCAGGAGAGGATCCCTAAGGAGAAATGCAAGTTCTTCGTCTCGTGTCTACACTGTACACTTGACCTTATACAACCCTCAGCCCTGACCTGGAATGAGGACCCAGTGACAGCCTTGGGGGCAAGTCCCCTATAACTTTGTGCCCTGGTTTCTCCAGCTGTAAAGAGTAAATGATGAGGGCCTGGCACGATAGCCTAGTGGTAAAAGTCCTCGCCTTACACGCACCCGGGATCCCATATGGTTGCCGGTTCTAATCCTGGGGCCCTGTTTCCCATCCAGCTTCCTGATTGTGGCCTGGGAAAGCAGTCATAGACAGCCCAAAGCCTTGGGATCCTGTAACCATGTGGGAGACCCGGAAGAGGTCCTGGCTCCTGGCTTTGGATTGGCTCAGCTCCAGCTGTTGCAGTCACTTGGTGAGTGAACCATCAGATGGAATATCTTCCTCTCTGTCTCTCCTCCTCTTTGTATATTCATCTTTCCAATAAAAATAAATAAATCTTTTTAAAAAAAGGAGTAAATGATGAGAGTTATAACTCTTACAAAGTTGTGGAGAGCATTCAGTTGGATGATGAAGGAAGAGCACTCACCATGGTGAATAGTTCAATATGATAGCTTACTATGACTGGTGCTCTGTGAGCAGATAAAATACACTTTAACAGCAGACTGTTCACCCAGGTAGGCACTTTCAGTAAGATATATTAGCCCAAATATATCTTCAAATAAAAAACAAAACAAAACAAAACAAAACAAGGTGATTGTGCTATGGCACAGTGGACTAACCTGCCCTCTGCAGGGCTGGTACCTCATATGGCAATTCAAGTCCCAGTTGTTCTACTTCCAATCCAGCTCCCTGCTAATGCCTCAGGAAAGGCAGCAGAAGGTGGCCCAAGTACGTGGGTCCCTTCGCCCAGAGGGGGATCAGAAAGGAGCTGCTGGCTCTTGGCTTCAGCCCAGCCCAGACCTAGTGATTGTGGGCGTCTGGGGGAGTGAATCAGTGGGTGGGCACTTCCTTTCTGTCCCTTCCTGTTTCTCACTCTGCTTTTCAAATAAATATATAAATAAATAAGAACAAATAGTTCTTTTTTAAAAAGAAAATATGACTCTCTTATTTGAATCAGTTAATTAAAAAAAATAAAAATAGCAAAAGTTTTTTCCTGGCAATTCTTAGCTTATCAAAAATTTAAAGTAAATATTGAACCTATCAGCCTTACCAGGAGTTAAAGTTTATTTGCTTTCCATTTAATAGTACACTGAACAAAACACCACAGGATCTTGTTAAAACCAGACAGCTCTGTTTTCCAAACTGCTTATTATTTATCATTTCAATTTATTTTTTAAAGATTTATTTATTTTTATTGCAAAGTCAGAGATAAAGAGAGGAGAGAGACAGAGAGGAAAATCTTCTGTCCATTGATTTCGCTCTCCAAGTGGCCACAAGGGCTGGAGCTGATTCAATCCAAAGCCAGGAGCCTGGAGCTTCTTCAGGGTGTCCTATGCAGGTGCAGGATCCCAAAGCTTTGGGCCATCCTTGATTGCCTTCCCAAGCCACAAGCAGGGAGCTAGATGGGAAGTGGGGGGGGGGGGTCGTCGGGATTAGAACCAGCAACCATATAGGATCCCGGGTGTTCAAGGTGAGGACTTTAGCCGCTAGGCTACCGTGTTGGGCCCTCAATTTGTTTTGAAAAGCAGCATGTGACTTCATACTGTATAAAAAATTAATTCAAAATGGATCAGAGACCTAAACATAAGCGCTACAACTATAAAACTCTTGGAATGAAGCACAGGCAGAAACCTTTGTGACACTAGGTTAGGCAACAGTTTCTCAGATATGACACAAAAGCAATAAGCAAGAAAAGAAAGAACAGATAAGAGGCACTTCATCAAATCAAAACATCTGGGATCAGTGTCGTGGCATATCAGGCTAAGCCTCTGTGGTGCTGGCATCCTGTATGGCTGTCAGTTCAAGTCCCAGCTGCTCCACTTCTGATTCAGCTCCCTGCTGATGGCTTGGGAAAGCAGTGGAGGATGACCCCAGTATTTGGGGGCCCTATATCAATATGGGAGAACTAGAAGAGGCTCCTGACTCCTGGCTCTTGGCTTTGGACCAATTCCTGCCATTTGTGGCATTTTTGGGAGCAAATCAGCAGATAGAAGGGAACGCTCACTCTCTCTTTCTCTTTTTCTTTCTCTCTCTCTCTCCCTCTCTGTCTCTCTCTGTCTCCTTCTTTCTGCAACACTGCCTACAAATAAAAATAAATAAATCTTAAGAAAAAAATCTGTGTGTCAAGGAACTCTGGGGAAAGATAGCTCCCAGATGAGGTATCTGGTAAATTATGTATCTGTAAGAGTCTAGCACCCAAGAAAAAAAAGAACCAGAATTTGGGAATGCATGGAAATCTCACAGAATGAAAAATACGTGCAAATGACCTGAATAGATAATATAAAAGACATCCACTAAGCGATGAAGAGACGCTCCACACCATTACTTGCATCAGGGAAACGCACATCCTACCCACAATGAGGGATTATTTCACAGCCGCTCAGATGGCCATGGTCAACAACACAGACTATAGTGAGAACACCGGAACTCTCATGCTGTACCAGCAGAAAGGGGAAATGGTCTACTCCTCTTGGCAGGCAGGCTGGCAGTTTCTCAGAGTTAAACACAGCGTTATCATGTACCTCAGCGTGTGGGCAATAAAGACACCTACCTCTAAACTTGGACATGAATGCTCAGAGAAGCCTTGTTCAGAATAGCCGACATACAAAGAAGTCAAATGGCCATCAACTGATGAATGAATATATAAAGCATGGGCAATCCATGCAACTGAGTATTCTTCAATCATTTAAAAATGAAGCCCTACAAACATGAATGAGCTTGGGAAACATTATACTAAGTGAAAGAAGCCAGATCCAAAGGAACACACATGGTGGATGATCCCGTTCTATACAACATCCAGAAGAGTCAAATCTATAGAGACAGAAAGCAGAGAGAGGATGCCCAAGCCAAGAACTATGAGCAGAACCACATGTCTCCCCTCTCCTCAACAACACCACATCGAAGCCCTCTCCTCCAGGGTGACTACACTTGGAGATGGGGCCTATAAGGAGGTAACCAAGCCCACTGGAATCATCGGCATGGAGGTTTAGTGTCCTCAGAGGAGACACCAGCTAGCTGGCCGGGAGTCCCTCCCCAGCTGTCTGCTGTGAGAGGACAGAGTGAGAAGGTAGTGATCTGCAAATTGGAAAAAGAGCCCTCCCCAGCAAGTGACCCTGCCAGTCCCTGGCCCGGACGTCCCCAGCCTTCAGGGCTGTGTGAGCAAGGGAGATTCTGCTGTGGAAGACATCTGACCTGTCATTTGGTCACAGCAGCCTGAGAT